TGAACTAAATTGTTCCTATCTTCAACAAGGAAAGGAAATTAAAAATATTACAAATGTCACTGACTTGGCTCATCTGAAAGGAAATAATGCAGTTATCACAGCTAATTTTAAATTATCAAGCTGATACAACATAAATGGTTCTCTCAAACAATATTGGTTATTTTACTATGACTCGGGTTTTCCTGAAATGTGCAGATATGATTTCTCAAGAACAGCACCTCATAATGACTCTGTCTTAAACAAGAAGACCTATGGCTTCCAGGATAAGCTTCAGATTGCTGAATTAAAATACTTCACGTATGTATGAAAATGCCATAAGGAAAACTGTCAGTTTGTATGCTTATTAAAATACCTTAATTTAAAAATAATCTCACATATCTCATATATATTTCAACATGCTACACCAACACAAAATCACTGGAAAAATTTCTCCACAAAAAGAGATCCAACCATTATTTTGAGGAACTTTAAGACAGATCATTAAAACTCAGTAAAATACAGAACTAGAATAAGCCAACTATTTGGCTGAGAATCATCAGTAAATATATTGGATTTTTTTTAATAAAAAAAAAACTTTAAACAAGTTTAGCTTAAAAAAAAAAAGGGGGGGGGGCAGTGGTGGGGTGGTACACATCTTTAGTCCCAGCACTTGGGATGTAGAAGCAGGCAGATCTCTGTGAGTTCGAGACCAGCCTGGTCTACAGAGTGAGTTCCAAGAACTACACAGCAAAACCCTGTCTCCAAAAATAAAAAAACTCCCAAAATTAAGGAGGCTGAGGCAGGAGGACTGTAAGTGTGAGGCCAGCTTGAGACATATAACTACATCCTACCTCAAAAAGCCAAGCGTGAGTAAGCAAGTGTATGAAGGTATGTGTGTGTTTATCAAATGCCAAATACCCAGGGTCAATTTTCTCTCCAGCGACTTCCAGTCCTTTTTTTTCTTTTTTTTTTTTTTTTTTTTTTTGTATTTTGGTTTTTCAAGACAGGGTTTTTCTGTGTAACAGCCTTGGCTGTCCTAGGCTGTCCTCGAACTCACAGAGATCCACCTGCCTCTGTCTCCCTAGTGCTGGGATTAAAGGTGTGTACCACCACTGCCCGGCTGATTTCCAATCTTTTATGGGATATTAAAATTTATATTGGGGCACTTTTATGTACATTCCACATCTGAAAGCAAGATGGGAAATGTAACCATCTGTACTATCATGTAGTGTTACCTAATTTATGGGGAGAAGCAGAACGATGTGTGTACAGGACAGAGGTCAACCCCATGCCCAGGCTGTAGTCCACTGCACGCATTCTCTTACTCTGTACAGACTTCGGAGCAACAACCAGGACTAAAGCACTGACGCCTGCTCTAGACCTTGTAAAGGACTAAACCACAAGAGCTCAGCCTGGAAAGCCAGGAGTTTAAAGTCTGCCGAAGGAAAGATACATGCACAACCGATGGCTACAAGCCAAAAAGGACCCCAGGCAAGAGATACACAGAAACAAGGTCAAGCGTTTAGAGGTGGGTCCACCTGCCTTGTCTCAGATACACCTGGAGTTACACGAAATTCACCTGACCCTCAGCATCTGAGGGTCAGGTCCAGGTGTCAAGCGGGTTGGTATTTGCATACAGGCTACAACAGGCATCCTTCCTTGTACTTTGAGTCATCTCTAGGTTACTGTGAAGCCTAAAGCCAAGGAGCTGCTAGATAGCTGGTTACTCTGTGTTCTTTAGGGAACAATGGCAGGTAAAGGTCTGCACACAGGCAGTAAACGCATACTTTATTCAAATATTTTAAGTCCTTGGTTGGTTGGATCTGAGTGCAAAAGCTACTGATACAAAAGACCAGCAGTATCAAAAACCCTCTTCCTTAGAGTCAAAAGCCACTCCTGATTCATGATGCTATTAACTTCAGAATCAGGTACAAAAAGAGGTGAGAGGAAGGACAGACAGTTGTGGGGAACTGACTTGAATTTTCCTGGTGTATTATGTACACTTCATTTGAGAAAGAGAGGGGAAAAGACAGTACAGAGCCCAGAGTACTCAGTCCTGAAGCCCTCCTGTGCTGATATAATGTGTATGCTAATAAAATTTACCTGAAGATCGGAGAACAGAACATGCCACTAGATTAAACAAAGAAGCCAGGCAGTGGTGGCACACACCTTTAATCCTAGCACTCGGGAGGCAGAGATCTGTCTGGATCTCTGTGAGTTCAAAGCCACCCTGGGCTACATGAGAATGACTCAGTCTAGGAGAGAAACACAGCCAGGCAGTGGTGGCACACACCTTTAATCCCAGTACTGGGAAACACACATGCCTTTAATCCCAGGAAGTGATGACTGGGCGGAGAAAGGTATATAAGGCATGAGCAGACAGGAACTAAAGGCTTTTCAGCAGAAGCGTGACTTTCAGCTAGAGGTTCTTTTGGCTGGAGCCTTTCAGGTGAGGACTCAAAGGATTTCTCAGTCAGAGGATTCGTGGAGTTGGCGAGGTGAGACATGGCAGTGACTTGTTCCTTTGTCTCTCTGATCTTTCAGCATTCACCCCAATATCTGGCTCCCGGTTTTTTTATTATAAGACCTCTTGAAATTCGAACAACACCTCCACATGACAATGTTTCCTGCAGTTCTTCCTGGTGGGTGGGGTGGTTGTGTAGTTTGGGTGGTTGGAGACAGAGGCCTCCAATTCACCGTGCAGCTAAACATGATGTCTTAGTTAGGGCTTCTACTGCCGTGAAGAGACACCAGGACCAAGGCAACTCTTATAAGGAATACATTTAATTGGGGTGGCTGGCTTACAGTTTCAGAGGTTCAGTCCATCATCATCATGGTGGGGAGCACGGAGGCAGACATGGGTACTAGTTACATCTTGATCAGAAGGCAACAGGAAGTCGACTGTGACACTGAGTGAGCCTCAAGCAAGAGACCTCAAAGCCCGCCCCCACAGTGACACACTTCCTTCAACAAGGCCACGCCTCCCAACAGTGCCACTCCTATGAGCTTATGGGGGGACTACCATGAACTTCTGACTGTCCTGATTCCATGTACAGTTTTAAGATTACAGACATGCACCCCTCCCCCCGGCTTATGCATTTCTAGACACTGAACCTAGGACTTCGTGCCTACTAGGCATACACTCTACCAACTGAGCTACTCCCCAGCCCACTGCAGTGCTTCTCGGAAATAGAGGTTTACTTGAAGTTAACAAAGGACTCGCCTTAGGAAAGTTCGATCTGGCACTTGAGTCTCTACAGTCACCAAGCTTTCTCCCAGAGACATCAGTGCTCAGGCCAGTGCTGACCGGGAGAAGAGCCAAAGGAGAAGAGGGCAGAAGAAAGCCCTTGTGGGGAAAGCACGAAGCTCGAATTTATGACCTTCACTGCAAGCAGGGCGGGAGGAGCAGCCACACCAGAACCACCAGCTAAACAGCTTGCAAGTGCCTCGGGACACAGAAGAATGGGGCAGATAAAGGACAGAATCTGAAGACCAGAATGAAATTTCCCCTCACTCCCAAGAACTGTACTTTTAATGCAGTGTGATGGGGCGTTTGCACAGTAACTGGGGATGATATACATGGTGGTGTTACTATGATTACCCCACCACGGAGCCCAGCAAGAACATTCCCTGTCACCCGCCACATCACAGCAGATCTCAGGAGTCAGTGGAGACCAAGAATCCAAGCCACCAGCTGCCTAGACACTCGCCGTCTCTCGGCCCTGTACTTCCAGCACTCACTCCCTCAAGCTCACGGCCACTCCAGAGCCTCCATGTCCTATCCCAGTGCTCAACTTCAGGCAGCTCTGTGTTCAACATCACCTTCCCCCTGAGATACTCTAGACCACCTTGTTAAACAACACCCACCCTGCTTTACAGCCCTCCTTAGCACTTCAATTAAATATCATTTCTCTCTTTGTCTGTGTATTTCCCCCTCAGGAATGTAAATTAATTAAAACTCTAGAACAAAAAAAGATACTGCCAATGTTGTATCCCAATGAGGATCACAACACCTGTGTATGATAAAATTTCATAGTTACTAGCTGAGTGAAAGAAAGGTACACAAGTTATTTTATGTGCATTGAAAACAATTTTGCAACTGTGCTTGCCAAATTCTTTTCAGCACATGTCATAGTACATAAGGCCTTTCCGTACAGTCAGCTAAAGCCTACCACGTAATGGTAACACCCAAGAGGCTGAGGAACAGAAAGAGTGGGAAGATAAAAGACACCCAGAGGACTCCAGCAACTAGCATCTCCCCGTTCAAGAGTGAAAACAAACCAGCTTTTCTTTCTACCAGATAAAAGTTCTTTCTTTTGTCTTATGTGAACAAGGACAAAGAAAGAAAGAAAGTGGAGTTCTGAATCCTCTGGTAGTAAGGATGCCTCTGGAAGAGTCATGAGGAATTTGAATCATTTAAGAAAGTATGTGCCAAGCTGGCAGTGGTGGTGCACACTTTTGATCCCAGCACTCAGTACGCAGCAGTAGGAGGAACAGCCTGGTCTACACAGAAAGTTACAGGACAGCCAGGGCTATCTAGAGAGACCCCATTTCCAAAAAATAAAGAACATATGTACCCTTTTCCACTCACAAAACCACAGTGAGTCACTCTATGCCACACTTCTCTTTTCTTTGGCCTCACATCTCCAACATCTATCCCCGCCGTCCCCCTTTCCGCCGTCCCCTTTCCTTTCTGCTCTTCTCCACCCTGGGTCCTGACCTGTCATCTTCCCTCTTTAATCCGCTGTCATGAGGTGACCACGGGAGGGATGGAGGGAGGAAAGGAAGGAAGGAGAGAGAATAATAATGTGGTCACTGTCTTCAAATCTAAGCAAGTGCAAAGAAACATAGGCCTGCTTAAGGGAGCAGCAGAAAATGTGTGGCTTGAGACCCGGCAGGATAAGGATGAGCACCCCTAATTCCCTTAGCCGACAGGGTTTCAGCTTGAGCAAGAACGTACCAGAGGCAAAATAATCTACAAGGCATAAGAAGGAACTGGAGAGGGAGACACTATTACTCACCGAAGTGAAGGCCAACAGCTCCTCCTCCGTTAGCTTATGAACTGGGTTGTTCTTCTGGAAATTTGTGCTTTGAATTAAAAAAAAAAGTTAAATTAATCATAAAATACATGTTGTAATCACTGTCTCTTATAGCACATATTTTAACTCACATACTATAATGCTATGCAATATATACAGGCATAAAAACAAGCTTTCAAAAGACAATAATAAAAATAAAATGGTTGGTGTCAAAACAATTTATCTTATTAGGAAAAAGAAGAAGTCCAAGGCTACAAGATAGTTGAACAGGTAAAGGTGCTTGCCATGATATGCGCCCCTCCAAAAGCAAATGGTAAAAGAAAAAGAGAAATCAAAGTGATACCACTCAACCAAAGACAATGGGAAGAATTAATACAGTGTTCAGTCCCATTTACTAAACTTCTACCACAAACAAATTCCATTACAATCACCAGACAGGTTAAAATCAGTAAGTCACCAGAGAGGTAGGACAACAGGCATTCTAAGACACTGAAGACACAGTCTAATCAGCGCAAACATTCACATATCCCCAAATGTAATCAGTAATTACATCCAGATTACAGAGCCAAAAAACCAGCCAGGCGGTGGTGGCGCACGCCTTTAATCCCAGCACTCGGGAGGCAGAGCCAGGCAGATCTCTGTGAGTTCGAGGCCAGCCTGGTCTACAGAGCAAGTTCCAGGACAGGAGCAAAGCTACACAGAGAAACCCTGTCTCGAAAAAACAAAAACAAACAAACAGAGCCAAAAAACCTCAGTGAATGAGTGGACCAGGAATGATCCACATAAATATTCACTGTAATAGGAAAACTGAAAATAATCAAAACCTCCAAACGGAGAAAAGACCAACTGTGACATATCCACCCAGTGGAATGCTGCCCTACGGATTAAAGTGCAGCTACAGACTAGAACACAAACTACAGAAACACAACAGAGAGAGAAGTCAATCACAGCAAGCACAGGAAGACGAAAACACGCAAATGGAAGCCCTCAGCGTGCAGGGACCTAAAATGTAAGAGTAAACATATCTTTAAAGGCCAGAAAATGACAAACACAAAGCTTCGGGTAGCATGTTCTCTGAGAAGGGCAGAGTGAGGCAAGGAAAAAAGGCACAGGTTGAACTTTCGATGTCTGCAATCTCCTAGTTTACCACTTCCACTTGCTAAACGTGTAACCTAAACTCACGTATTACATACATTATTTTGCAAGCAAACATTACTCGTAGAGGAACGACAACAACCAGATGTGGTGGCTCACACCAGAAACCCCAGCACTCGGGAGGTTGACGCTGAAAGATGCTGCAGGGTAAGGCCCTGTCTCAAAAGGACTGTTTTAAAGGGCTGGAGAACTAGCTCAGTGGTTAAGAAAGAGCACCTGTTGCTCTTACAGAGGACCCGGGTTCTGTTCTCAACACCCACATGGTGGCTCACCTTGGTAACTCCAGTTCTAGGGGATCCCATACCCTCCTCTGACCTCATGGGCATCAGGTGTGCATGGAGTACATACACATAAATGCAAGAAAAAGTTATAAAATAATCTAAAACAATAAAATTTAAAAAGAATGAAAACAAATCCTATAAAATAGTACTACTTCCTTATGATTTTCAATATTAAAGATTTTATAAGCATGAAATGTTTACGTAAAAACTTTTAACTGAATCTGCTTAGGACTTTTATTATTTTTAATTGACTGTGTTTCATCATGTCGATATATGCATATGAGTACAGGTGCCTAAGGGGACAGAAGCATCAGATCGCCTGATGCTCCAGAAACTGGAGCTACAGACAGTTGTGAGCCACCTGATGTGCGTACTGAGAACTGAACTCAGGTCCTCTGAAACAGCAGCAAGTGCTCTTAAGCACTGAACCATCTCTCCAGCCCCTAGATTTTTTTTTGAGGCAGGTCTTGATCTATAGCCCTAGATGGTCTAGAATCCACTATGCAGTCTAAGCTGGCCCTGAACTCTGGGGAATGTGCCATATACTTGGCCTGCACCTGTTTTTATTGTCGGTGATAACAGAACAAAATAAATGGAAACAGAACTATGAAATCATTTAAAATGCACATGTATTCTGTCTGTCTGTCTGTCTGTCTGTCTCTCTCTCTCTCTCTCTCATAGTTATAGCACAAAGAAATTACGTAGCAAGCAACATGATCCACTTAACCCCTCAAGTCCTTCTCATCCTAAGACACCATGTTCTTTGAGTGAAAAGAGCATTAAAAAGTCATAAGACAGGGTAAGAACCTCACAGAAAATGATCAATGCCCATTTCTTCTGCAAAACTTCTAATGGTACAGTGGATAAAGAATACAGATGAGGAGAAATGCCAGAGGCTCACTAAAAAATGAGAAAGAATAAGAACTAACTGCCACAAATACATATTCTTGGAAGGAAAACAGTTATTCTCAGCTGGAGAAGTCGGACATGCAAGCATAAGGACTTGAGTTCAGACACCCAGCACCCAGATAAAAGCCATTTGTGTTCATGTGCATCTGGAACCCTAGTCCAAGGGGACAGAGACAGGATCCCCGGAGCTCACTGGGCAGTGAATAGGAGAGCACGAGGTTCAGTGAGAAACCCTGTCTCAAAAAAGATGATATGGAGAGAGCTGGTGAAAAACACCCACAGACCACCTCCAGCTTCTACAGGCAGCTTATACACACAGTCATTCTCACCTCTATTTAATATTTTATTAAAAAATCTACACCCAGTTGAAGGTAACCCAAGACATTTGCTCATAAAGAAAAGAGAAGAACAAGCTACAAACTCAACAGACTCTGAACCACAGATCCTTGAATTTGCTGCCCAAGAACTCTCCACCTACTGCACTGGGAGGTTCTGACGAAGAACTCCCCAGTCTCAGGGGAACAATGGTCAGGATGTTCAACACAGCCAAGTCAACCGTTAACATACCAGACTCCAAGGATGACAGCAAGTTCTTCAGCACACAGGTCAGGCATCTCAAACCGTTCACTGTCGGCTAACTTGATTTCATTCAGAACAGTATCATCGTTGAGCTCAAGATTCTGGTAGGACACAGAACCAAACCAAACCAAAACTGACATTTAATTCATTCATGCAACAAGACTTCGAAAGGAGATGACACTGATGTATGGAGTTTTTGGAGGGAGGCTGGGGTATATTATTTTTGTTTTGATTTACTTTGGAGTTTTTGTTTTTGTTTTGGTTAGTTTGGTCTGGCGTTTTGTTTGTCGTTTGTTTTTAAAACAGGGTCTCACTATGCAATCCTGGCTTGCCCAAACTCACTAGGTAGACCAAGCTAGCCTTAACCTCACAGGTTAACTGCCTGCCTCAGCCTCCTGAGTCCTAAGATTATGAAGGCATGGAGCACCATGTCCAGCTTAACATACCATTTTACTTTTTAAAGATGAAATAGTGTCTGAATATGGTCTTGTGAATACACAGTGGGAACGTAAGTTGTGAGAAGGTTTGCCATGTGCGCCTCAAGAACTCAGTGGAAATGACAAGGGCAGAGAGAATGACAGCTATCACCACGGACCCCATCTGCAAAAGCACCTCTGCTGCTATAATTCCCATACATTCTCTTGCTCATCCTTCTAATAATAATAATAAACAACAGATCTGAATGTCAAAAATACTACTAAAAATCCTTCTAAAGAAAATCATGCCAGGTGGTGGTGGTGCACGCCTTTAATCCCAGCACTCAGGAGACAAAGGCAGGCCAGTCTTTGAGTTCAAGGTCAGCCTGGTCTACAGAGCGAGTTCCAGGACAGCCAGGGCTACACAGAGAAACCTTGTCTCCAAAAACCAAAAAGGAAAAAAAAAAGACAGACAGACAGAGAGAAAATCATCAGAGAAAACCTTGGCAACCTTAGGATAGGCAAAAAGCCCCTCATTAAACAAATAACAAAAAAAAAGCAATTGGAGAAAAACAATATAGAAAACTATCAAATTAAAACTATCTGCTCGTAGGGAGGGGCTGTCCCTAATGCTTTTGGCTGCCATTTGGGAGCATGTTCCTCATACTGGGTCACCTTGCCCAGCCTTAATGCAAGGGGAGGTGCTGAGTCCTACCAAAACTTGACATGCTATGCTTTGTTGATGTCCATGGGAGGCCTGCTCCTTTCTGAACAAAAATGGATAAGGAGTAGATGGGAAGAAGGGAGCAGAGAGAAGGTGGGGGTGGAAATGGGAGGAGAAGAGGAGGTAGAAACTACAGTCAGGATGGAAAATAAATAAATAAATTTAATAAAAAATTTAAAATTAAAATTAAAAAAAAGAACTATCTGCTCTTGGAAAACACTATTGAGAAAATGAAGGCCAAGCTACAGATCCAAAGGATAGACTGTGAAGCAGGCATCTTAGAAGGGGCTCTGTGCTCGGCATGGTGGTGCAGGACCTTAATCCAGCACTAGACCAGGGAGGCAGAGCAGACAGATATCTCCGAATCCAAGGTCAGCCTGATCTAAATAGTGGTCCCAGGCTACCAACTGACACCCTGTCTCAAAAAGCAAAATTACCAGAAAAAGAAAAGCCAGGGCTGGAGTCAGGCGGTGGTGGCACACGGCTTTAGTCCCAGCACTTGGGAGGCAGAGCCAGGCAGATCTCTGTGAGTTCGAGGCCAGCCTGGGCTACAGAGTGAGTTCCAGGACAGGCTCCAAAGCTACACAGAGAAATCCTGTCTCGAAAAACAAACCAAAAAAAAAAAAAGAAAGAAAGAAAGAAAGAAAGAAAAAGCCAGGCTCAGCAGTTAAGAGGATCTAAGGGACTTTTAAGAGACCAAAGTTTGAGTTCCAGTGGCCATATCAGGAGATTCACAGCCTTCTGTTACTCCAGCTCCAGGGGATCTGATACTTCTGATCTCCACAGGCACCCACATTCACATGCACAAACCCACTGGCAGGCAGGAGGCAGACAGACAGACAGACAGACACACACACACACACACACACACACACACACACACACACACAATTTTAACAGAAGCTAGGAATATAATGATAACCTTAGACACTAAGGAACAACTGGTGTCTAGAATAATATAATGTACTCAATTTTAAAGTGCGTCAAATAAACATACACACACCATACACACATACATGAAAGACAACGTTTGTGTGCCTGGATTTCAGAACTAAATCTGTTCTGTGCCTAAAGACCACACTGCATTGGGCAATCTAAAGCTTAATGAGGGGCTTGGACAGGGCAGGGAAAAGAGAGGAGGAAATTAAGGATGCACACACTTATTACTCATTCCCTGACCATTGCTAATCCCGCAGCACACACACTGGCTCAGTCACAGCTCCACCCCTGAGGAAATAGTCAGATCCCGCATTTCTACATCACCAGCCTTTATTCACTCTCCTAGAATCAACAGCTGCTCCTTGCTAAAGTTACCACCAAAGCAAATAGTGAACTTGGAACCCACCCAGCATTCTTATCACAGGTTCTCCTCAGAATGAACTGAACGAGGGCTCCTCCCTGCTCCTCAGCCCCAGCCTCTTCCCTTGGCATTACTCTCCGAACAGAACAGAAATTTGGGACTCAGTGTACTTAAGGTAAATTTATTGATAGGTTTTCAAATGAAGCACACCAAAGCACAGGCACTAAAGACATTCAAATCAATAAAAGGACAATCAAAAGCTGTAGATGTGGGGCTGGAGAAAAGGCTCCATCGTGAAGAGCACAGGCTGATCTTTCTGAGGAACCAGGTGTGATTCCCAACACCCACATGGCAGCTCACAACAATCTGTAACTCCAGTTCCAGGGGATCCAATTCCCTCTTTTGGTTTCTGTGATCACTACCCATGTGCTACACAGATATATGTGCAGGCAAAATACCCATAAACATAAAATAAAATCTTTAAATAAATTTAATTAACAAATGAAACTGAGGGTATGGGAATCCCTGGAAAATAAAAATATGTTTGTAGCCTCCATGGAGGCAGTTGCACAGGCCTATGAGGTCAACCGTCCAAGAATCTCAAGTTCAACCCACAAGAAAAGAATTCATTAGACATGTCAAAAAGCATACTGAAGCACCACCAACCCAATAACGGCAGAGTAGAAGGCAGATTGTAAAATGAGAGAAAAGGAAGCCTGGTTATTAGTTTATGTGTGTAGAAGAAGCCAGAGAAATGTCAAGTCTGGATGTTAGAAAATATCCACAAAGACAAAAGTAAAGGGACTAATATAGAGCTAGGTGTGGTGGCTCCCACCTAGACTCCCAGTACAGGGAGCAGATGGAGCCCTGAGTGAAGTCCTGAGAATCCTGACATGTGCACAGACATGCCAAGGACTCCAAGGCCTCAGACCCACAGGAAGCTGGCAATATGGGCCAGGCCCAGAAGGAACGGCAAAGCTTTCCGAGGGGGTCCAAGTGCAAGTGTCAATGGACAACTGATCAGTGTGTGCAGGAATCATCAACTGCCCCTTCTTGCTCCTGATGTTCACAGCCTGGACTAGTCACCTACAGCCTTCCTCCCCAGACTAGCTAAGCACTCCCCAACCCCATGCTGCACCTTATGAGCACAATGCAGTTCCAGGTTCCAGAGGGAGCAGACTCCTGCCTGTACTCAGCTTTACTCTATGTGTGTCTGTATGTCTCCATCCCTTCAACACCCCAATCAGGGTTCCACGACCCAAGCCACTTAGGAGGCTGAAGCAGGAGAGCAGGAGATAGGCCAACCCTGGTTATACAGCTACATCCTGCTTCAAAAGGCAAAAAACCAAATAAACAGATTTGAGAGCAGCTACTCTGTCTTTTATATGTCAGGGGGCAATGTAGTGGCACTGCTAACTCATGACTGCGCCACTGTAGGGGAACTGTGCTGTGTGACTGTGGGTGCAGTGTGGCAGATGTGTGACTGTGTGACTGTGTGACTGCGGGTGCAGTGTGGCAGATGTGTGACTGTGTGACTGTGTGACTGCGGGTGCAGTGTGGCAGCTGTGTGACTGTGTGACTGTGGGTGCAGTGTGGCAGATGTGTGACTGTGTGACTGTGTGACTGTGGGTGCAGTGTGGCAGCTGTGTGACTGTGTGACTGTGTGACTGCGGGTGCAGTGTGGCAGCTGTGTGACTGTGACTGTGGGTGCAGTGTGGCAGCTGTGTGACTGTGTGACTGCGGGTGCAGTGTGGCAGCTGTGTGACTGTGTGACTGCGGGTGCAGTGTGGCAGCTGTGTGATTGTGTGACTGTGGGTGCAGTGTGGCAGCTGTGTGACTATGTAACTGTGGGTGCAGTGTGGCAGATGTCCTCCCCCATGATGGAATGTGTCCTTTCAAACTCTAAGCCAGAATAGATCCTTCCCTCCTTGAAAACTTGTCAGAGAAAAATCCTGATAATTTTGACCTAGAAATGAGGACAGAGAACTTAACAAGGGTTCTCACGCAGTCTCTTCTCATCCACTCAGTTTCTGGGATAGTCCCCTCCCGATACTATGTTATTCAACTACATAACTCTGACCAACCTACCTTGGTTAAGTATTCCTGGGGGGTGGGTGCTGGGCTGAACTCACGACCGGAAGGGACGTCCTCTTCTCTCCTGACATCTAGAATCAGCTGTGCCACGTAATTTTCCTGGAATCGTGTCCTTTTTCCCAAAGCTCCTGAAAATTAAAATAAAATCCTACCTGTAGATCTGCCAAGTCAGATTTATAGTACAATCGTGATGACTAATATTTTCAGAATGGTTTTCTCCATTCATGTATGAGAAACTTGAGACCCAGTGACATTAAAAATGACTTCCTGAAGCCAAGGAATTAAGGTGCCAAGACTCAAACCCAGGATTTCTGACACTAGATTCTCAATCTCAATCCCTATTTTTGCTTATTTTTTAGTCTCTTCTGAAAAAAGTGACTTATTAAGTATTGCATACACACACATACATACTATATCCACAAATGTGTATATGAAATGATATCATCCATGGAAACACAGAGGTGAACACTCATCATCACTAGCTCAGGATCACAGGCTCCTCCACATTAAAGCCAGCACGCAGTTACTGCCTCAGCTTCTGAGACCAGGCAAGCACTCCATCTGGCTTCATACGATACCAGGATTTTTTCTTTATGTCTCTGAAATAATATGCTGCAGAAGAGCTATTTTCAGACCACTTTGAAGAGAAGCAAAGTTTCAACATCCACTCTCTGGAAAATGTGGGATTACGAAGACTAGCCTAAGAAATCCGCTTCCTATACTGAGATGACTCTGTCTCTGAGTTACTGTCATCCCCGTAAACACGTCATGCTCTAGATGGCCACCAAAGTGGCTTAACAGCTCCCTTTTTTATAGTAAGTCCAGAGCTGGGTGGAAAAAAAAATCATAATCTGGGTCTCATTTTTTATATGGGAGCACACTTCTATTTCTAAGTTCTTCACCTCAACTTTGGGAAAAAATAAAAAACTGTAATAGCTATTAAATATACTACCAGTTAAAGCTGAATATACAAAGCACTGTGTCATTAATATTTAAATAATCCCCCAAAAGTCTCCTAGAAAAAAAATATTTGAAAAAAAATCACAAGTTCATTACAAGTAACTATATTTTCAAATACAGACAAGACTCCAAGTTATTCATGGCAGTGTTCCAAAAACTATAAACTAGATAGTAATAACTTTTCTCACACAAACAATGTAATAAAAGAAGGCTAAGATCCCATAGAGCCATATTTGAGTCACAGTACAGCTAGAGGATTTTATCAATTAACATTGACTCGATAAGAAACATAGAACACTGGGGCTGAGAACAGACCTATGAGATGATCCAGGCCTAGCATGGGACAATTGTGTCAGTCACTGAATGCACAGGCAGGCGTCATTAGTTCATTCATACTGAACGTCAACTATACTGAAACAGATTGGGGATAGAGAGGCACACGGTACAAAGCACTCAGAAGAGACAACAGAGGATTCAGGAGAAATTCTGTAACTCATTCATTCTTTCAGCATCCACATACAGTGAACGTCTGTACAGCTTCAGAGACTGACCTAACTAGGGAGAGGAGGAGGGATAAAGAAAATGACAGACGCATGGACACAAAAGCTGGGATCAGACGATCTGGGCTCTAGGATGCAGAAGCCCTGGCACCCTGGATGCTCAGCATGTTTGTTATATACAGTTGGGAGGTAGGGTCGCTATAAACAGATAAACGAGGAAGTGGGGTTATTATATACAGCTGAACGAGGAGGCAGGGTTATTAAATACAGCTGAACAAGGAGGAGGGGTTATATACAGATAAACTGAGAGGCAAGGTTATTATATACAGATAAACAGAGAGGCAAGGTTATTACATACAGCTGAACAGGAGACAAGGTCATTATATACAACTGAACAAGGAGGCAGCCTCAGCTACTCTGGGTAGGCACAGGCTCTGTAGGGGAGCAGTCCGCAAGCTGTAAACATCTGGGCAGAGAAAGCGACAGTGGACATTTTCTGCACACATGGTCAACAGTCACACTAGGACTTGAGGAAGGCTTTGCTATTGCTCTGAGCCTCACCTGGGGAAGACTTTGCCATCCCCATGGGGCTGAGGCATTAGTCCCTAACATGGCTGTGCCCTTGTCAAATAATATACATTGACTCATTCCCTCAGAACTTACTTGTTCCCTACAATATTGAGTGCTACTATGTTTCAGATGGTATTCTCATTCTCTCTGTTTTTTTATTTGTTTATTTGATTTTATTTTGGCTTTTCAAGACAGGGTTCCCCTGTGTAGCTCTCTCTGGCTGTCTTGGAACTTGCTCTGTAGACCAGGCTGGCCTTAAACTCAGAGGTCCACCTGCCTCTGCCTTCCAGTGCTGAGATTAAAGGTGTGCACCACCACGCAGGGCTCAGACAGTACTCTCAACCACTAAAGACACACCTAAGAAATGCAATAGAGTGCAACAAAGCAGGATGGAGACAACAGGAGGCATTTACAGGAATGGGCAATGCACGGGGCGGGCTAAACTGGAAGAGTCAGGAATGGCTCCCAAGGTTCACACCAGAACCAAATGGTCTAAGGTCCATTTATGTACTACTGGCTGCTATTACTACCAAATATTTCACTAGCTTAGAACGAGGAATGGACTCTATGAAAAAAAAAAAAGCATGTAACTCCAAATTTGTTTGAAAATATAAACTTTAAATAAAATCTTTTAAATGTATTGTGAAATAAAAAATCGGCAGGCTCTAAAATTTAAATACTAGACCAAGTACGGTAGAGCATCCCAAATTCCAACACTAAAGAGACTAAGATAAGAGTATCGAGAGTTCAAGGCCTGCTGAGCTACATAAAGAAAACCTAGAAATGGAAAGTTATAAATGCAGCCCAACAAGTTTGCTTTTTATCCTGTGATCAGTCTAGTTCTACATTAAAAATAATAATAATAATAATAACCAAAAGGAATGGAGATGGCTCAGGCAATAAAGGATATGTCTCACAACCAAAAAGACAAAAAAAAAAGGCAAATGCCAAAATACAATACAAACTGCCAACATACATACTGGCTTTATTGTAAAATTAAATCAATTACCCATGAAAAGTCAAGTCTTACCTGTCAGAGCAACCTGTAACCTGCTGATGTCTTTAGCAATATTGAACCGATCTTTTGCTTCTTTATATTCATAATAATATAAAAATACATGTGCACATTCCAGATGGAACTGAATAGCTAAAAGTCGGCCTGAATCACCTTCAAATAAATTCTCTAGTTTCATCACTGTGAGACAAAAGATGAAGCATTAAAAATTAAGATGAGTGAATGTAGAGTCCCAAAGTATTAAAGTATACATTGCACGGTTTAAGTTTTGAAGAACCTTAAACACATAAAAGAACACAAACACAACAGTAGTTAACAGCTAGCATTCTCTGAGCACTTATACGCTCCAAATAGACAGTTAAGACTACACACACAGTCTTAGGAGATGCTCTTCATAGCACTGATCCCTCCTAGGTGCCTGTCTTAACCATCCTATAAAAACATGGCCAGAAATATGGGAACACAAGATGTTGATACGAGGTGTAAAACCAACATGAAAACTAAACACTATGGAAAATCTGAAGAAAGGGTAATTAGCTGAGTTCATTTCATAGAAAATATAAACTTTCTCCCTTAAGAATGGAAACATACATGCATGTGAAAATGAGTATCAAATAGGCTCCTACACATACATCACATATACACACCACACATACACACACACACACACACACACACACACACACACACACACACACACATGCAGACATGCAAACAAATTAGTGTAATGTAATTTTTAAAATTTTTAAATAAATAAAGCAAGGGAGAACAATAACTTAGCAACAAAACATCTGAGATAAAATGACTATCAAGATTAATTACATATACTAAAGAGCATAGTACTATTACACACACTGGGGTTCAAGATTTCTCATATAGCAGGATGTTCATCCAACTGGTACCCCAAAACAGCATTCTCTACTACACATCCTTGACATGCTGTTCTCTAAACTGTTTTCAGCAATGGCTTCGTCAGCTTTTGACAAAGCAGTCTGTCAGAATGAATGCCGAATGAAAGCATGAGAAGTGTGCTTCAAGCTTCCGAACGCAGGTGACGGTTTTCCAACATTCAAGCTGAGAGAGAAGTCTACCTCACTGAGAACAAGAACTACTGAAAGGAAAATAGTCTATAACTCCTGCAGTCAGTATACTGCTGTCACACAACTGCAGTAGGGCTCAGAGACAACTGAAATATGTGGCATGACCAACCACACTGACCAAGTCTACCCCAGGTAAAAACTGTGAGATTCGCATTGTGATTTCACCTACGGTAAATAAATCAGAGTCACCTTATGATAAAGACAGCTCCCCAAGCTGCTCCATCCTTTCCTGCACAATCCTGGACCTCCACTGCCCACCAGACTTCCTCTACTCTAGCCACAATGACTTTCCTTTGGACCTTCAGGCCAATTATACTCTCTCAGGTCAGGGAGCCTTTATGGTTTACAAAAGTCCAGGTTTCTGCATCAGTGATAAAGTCAGCTGTCTATCAAGTCTATCCCATCATCCACACACTAAAAAGACAGAATCTCACGTAGTTCAGGCTGGCCTCAAACTCTTTTAGTTAAGAATGATCCTGAACTCCTTCAGCTCCTAACCTTCACTCCTCCACCTCCCAAATGCTGGTATTACAGGCATGTGCCACCACGCCAAGTTTATGAGGTGCTGGGGATTATATAAACGCTTGGGCAAGCACTCTACCAATGCACCTACATCTCCAACTCCACTACACAATCTTTACCCAAGTCTACTATAACTGGAAAATCTAGCTGTGGGCGGGAGGGATAGCTCAGCCGTTAAAGGCTAGGCTCACAACCAAAACTGTAAGAGTGGTTCCCAGCACCCACAGCTGTCCCTCCAGTTACCAAAAAAAAACCTAGCTGTACCACTACCAAAAAAATCTGGAAAAAAAAGTGGGTTTTGTAACTTATTGGGGGAGGGGAGGTGACCTGACTTCACTTGGCAGCAAAATTTGACATGAATGAGAAAATGGAACTAAACTTCCAGACGACATCAAAACGCAAGACAGGGGACGGGTGCAAATTTGGTGATTTGCTACTTTTGGAAACCAGGTCCTGCCTCCTTCCCTGAAAGTCTACCTTCTAGGATCAAAATTTGGCAGAAAAAGAAGGGAAGCTGTCCAAAGGTTTCATGTCTGTCAACGGAGCACTAGGTGAATTATTCACATATTACAATACTATAAATAAACAGTAATGGGATTCACACGTAAGGTACAGCGGTGCATATCAATAGTCCCAACTAAACAGGAGGTTGAGGCAGGAGGACCACATGAACACAGGGGTTCAAGACCTGCCAGAGTCAAGAGAAACTGTGTCCAGAGGGATAAAAGGCTCTAAGTGAAAACTTAATAAAAGCATTAACTAACAGTAACAGTAAAAAGCAGTAAGCAGCAGTAAAAACCTGGAATCTACTATAGTTAGTGCTCAAAAATGTATAGTTAGTGTGAACAAATAAAGCCTGCCCAAAGTGGCCTAACAAGTCAGAAACCCAAGGTCCTCAAATTCTAACTCCTACCTCCCTGTTCAACCCCATCACCTAACACCCTCATTCTGCTCTAGCCATTCTGAATACTGGAACTGCCAACTCCACAGCTATGCCCCAAGTCTGTGGTCCTTGGTATACACACCGCACTCCCGATCTAAGTCTGCCAGCCAACATTCCTAGTTGTTCCTCAAGATTTAATCCAAATAGCGACTACCTGATAAAACTTCTGACATCAGAAGTTCAAACTAATCACATCGTCTAGCTTGTGTTTTCCTACCAGTATTTCAGACTCTAACTCACCAAGTTCACTGATATCCACAGCACCTAGCACACAGTCATTCAAACAAGTCTTTTTAGGTCTGGAGATGGGCTCAGGGGTTAAGACAGTATGCTGGCTTACAAAGGACCTGAGTGAAGGGCATGGCGCTTTGAGTATAAACCCAGCATTCAGTAGGCTGAAAAAAAAGGATCACAAAGTTTTGGGCCAGCCTGATTTATACAGTAAGCTTGAGGCCATCTAAACTACAATGCAAGATTCCACCTTTAATTTTTTTTTAATCCACTTATTTTATACCCACTGCTAAATGACCCTCAGCTCTACCTCACAGAGTTACAAGGAGTATGCTAACTATCATGGCTAAAAACTTGGAGCTGCACTTGGTGTGGTGTGCAGAGAGAAATGTTAGCTATACTATTACTAGCTACTAAAATCTGGACCAGAATTCTCTTTGAGAAAAGCAGTGGGAATAGAGAGAGGGTTTGAAGCTGGGAAGCCCAGGCCATGGTTCTGTTGCTGAAGCAACTTCCCTGAGTCTTGACTTTGCCAAATGAGCTAGCTAGACAAGACGATCTCCACAGGGCCTTTCCAAACCAAAGACTTCAGACAAGGATAACTGGTACAGGAATGGAAACGGAGATAGATATGGAACCCTTGGGCAAGAACTAACAAGATTCAAGAACCAGCTGGATATGCAGACAATGGAAGACACTGAGTCAACTGTGAAAAAAGATTTCAGCTCTAGAAGACTCAGGCTTAAATAAAAGAGGGGCATGCTGATCCAATAGACATACATTTATTATTTTAATACTATGTTAAGTTCTCTGTGGAAATTCATATTCATGGCCTTCTGGACAAAATGTCAATCAGTAAATATAAAACATGAGCTAAAACCAGAATCTCTCCCCATGAGATTTTTTTAATGCTGTGTTAAAATGATATATTTAATAACATATTTCAAATTACTAAAAAATATTTTAATCCCTGAATACATCAGTCTTTGGCTGTGAGAACAACCTAACCAGGGTCACACGGCTGCTGGGAGAAGACACTATAGAACTTGCTCACAAAGTATTTTCACCTGTTTCTTCTTAGGCAGTGACTTCATGAGTTCATCTTCAAACTGCAATATTCCACCTCATGCCCTACATGCAGTGCATTTTCAGTATCTGATCCAAAAACAACTGCTGTGGGCCTGGAAGTGGTCTCTACAGAACTGTGGTTGCATTCAGTACAACCTCCCAAAGAATGCCCCATGCTGTGCTGGGGAACATACTTTTCAAGCCTCTAACCTACTCCTTTCATAAATGTGATGGGCCCAGTGAAGTGATGCTGCGGCTGCCATAGGCTCTGCCTCACTGCATTTCACTGATGGAACACTCCTGGACAAGAGTAAGACGATCTCAGCTGGTCCCAAAACCCTCTGCTTATGTCTCACAAGCTGAAAAAATTCCTGCCAACTTTTGATGAACCTTCAAGGGCAATATTTCAAATATAACATTCTTCTCAGGACATTGAATGGTATCTCAGTTATAACTAACTGGTCAATATTTGGGTCAGATCCAAGAATAAAATATTTTTTAAATAAAATTACTTATGAAATATTACAGACTAATTTAAATATGGCTAAAATGTCTAATTATGTCAAATCACCAATTTGTGACTAAAGTGAAAAATGTTGATTACCCAAGAAGATCATGTTGTGAAATATTATTTTAACTATGCAAAGATGTGTTACTTAGTTTATGCTACAGAATATTACTTTAACTGTGCAAAGATATGCTACTTCTGTTTATGCTGCATTTGTTTAATTATGAAAAGACATGTTGCGTTTGTTTTACTGTGCCTGCCTATGGCATCTGACTGGTCTAATAAAGAGCTGAACAGCCAATAGCTAGGCAGAAGAGGGACAGGCGAGGCTAGCAGGAAGAGAGAATAAATAGGAGGAGAAATCTAGGCTCGAGGGAGTAAAGAACGAGAGAAGAGGAGGAGAGAATGAGGGACATGCCTGGGCCAAGACGCCAGGCAGATGTCAGCCAGCCTGACCAGAGAAGCAGTGAAAGTAAGATACACAGAAGTAACAAAGGTAAACAGCCCCAAGGCAAAATGCAGATAAAGAGAAACAGGCTAATATACGTTAAAAGAACCAGCCAGAAATGAGCCTAAGCTAGGCTGAGCTTTCAAAACTAATAATAAGTCTCTGTGTCATGATTTGGGAGCTCGTTAGTGGCCCAAAAGAAAAAGCCTGGTACAAGAGCAACATAAAAGTACTTGGTTGCAGGACAAAGCAAATGATGTGCTTGAATCCACTGCAGAAACACCACAGGCCACTGAGGATGAGTCACCTAGAGTCAGATTTCTAGTTATCTCAGTTAACCATTCCTGATTTTGAACAGAATTTTAACTTCTAGAAAAAAACTAACTCCCTCTAAAACATACCATATGGTTCTAACCTCTCAAAAAGATTGTGTTCTCTCCCCTCGATAATGAAGGGTATTCCTTACAAAGATTAGTCACAAGATATGGTACAGATTTGGCAATAAATACAAGGTGTATATAATAAGGGACAATATGGAAGGGGAATAAATGGAACTTTATAAAAACTACACCAAATTAGGTTTGCTTTAAAAACAAAAACAACTCCTAGTAACAACACCTGGCCTTTCTCTCCAACCATCAATCTTCCACAAAAGCATACTGAAGTGTAAGAAATTAAATAACAGCCTTTGGAGTGCAATGCAATGGCCATTTTACAAAATTAAACAGTGGAGTGGGTTCTCACAGAATTTTGTTTCAAATGCTATCCTTGTCTTCCAGGAAAACCATCTATGACATTCAACGCATCCCTGGCTTCATGAACTAACTACAAGGCTGTTCCCTTGCACTGCTCTTTCACAGAGAAACCTCACTTCATTTCAAAACCATAATGGTATAAACCAGGAAAGACCAAGTTTACATAGTTCTCGCTTGCTAAAAACAGAAGATAACACACTGTCTGATAAATGGGTACTATGCCTCATTTTTTCCAAGCTTCATCTTATCCTCCATTCTGAAGAGAATGTCACACCTAAGCAGCACTATTGAGAAGATTCGAAGGCCACACATTAACGTAGGACCCGTTTTTCCCATAACTTCTATGATTCAATTAACTCAGAAACCTTTAAGGAGACGGAGGACAGTCATTCCCAGAGATCAGCACCACAACAACACCCCCCCCACCCCAAATTTGCTAGCTGTTAAATATACAGGTGTCTGCTGCTGTCATTCCACGTTATCCAAAGGCATTACCTACTTTATAGTCTAGGCACTACCCTAAGTAGAAACAAGTAAGCCAAGTTCTTTTAAAAAGAAAAAAAAAAACTGTTCAGTTTTTGTTACTTAAAAAAATATTATCAAGGTTAGAGAGATGGCTGCTGAGTGGTTAAGGGCACTGGCTGCTCTTCCAAAGGACCCAGATTCGATTCCCAGCACCCACATGGCAGCTCATAACCTTCTGTAACTCCAGTTCCAGAGGATCCAATGCCCTCTTCTGACCTATGAGGATACCTCACACATGTGGTGTATGTATATACATGTAGACAAAACTCCCATGCATAGATTCATTTAAATATGTACTACTGTACAGAAAAGCAAATTAATTGGTTTTGGCTTTGTTATTTGGTTTTGAGGCAAGATCTCACTATATTGTCCAAGTTAGGACAGAACTTTTTATGCTCAAGAGATTATCTTGCCTCAATCCACAACGGTACTCCAGGTCCATACCACTATATTAATCTGCTATCTCAACTCAGGTATAAGTTCCAGGGCAGAATAACTGTTAACATATATACAACACTTTAAGTTCTTGTGGTTCTTGTGGTTTAATATTCTGTTACTTGTTCCACATATTGACATCACCTAAAATCCTCAAAAAACATAAAGACCTGGTACAAACACATAAATAAATCAATTTTTATACTGACTGAATGTATTTCCTTACTTTCTTTTTAAATCATGCATAGATGTCCATTTTATCTAAGTTAGCATATGCTTATGTATTTCTGTCCTAGAATAAAACAAAAATTGGGAAATTAGTTTTAACCAATCACCTAGTTTGGTAAAATTACTATGAACACTACAATCCTGCCCACTACATGCTAGCCTGTTGTGTGATATTTTGATTGCATTCTGATGCTCTGGAGACTGACAAAAAAGTTTGTTTTGAATCAGAGAGCAGAGCTAGCTACTAGCTGACCAAAATTAACCATAGAGGTTTGGAGGACTGATGACAGATAGACACAGCAAGTAGTAGGGTAGGACTGACAGAGGGTCCTGACCCTTATGGATGGATGAACAGGAGAGAGAGGAGGTCACTGGTCACTTTGATGTCGCTCTGCTCATTCAGGTTCTTACCCCAATATCTGACTCCCGAGTTTTTATTGTTAAAAAATAATTAAATAAATGCATCTCTAGCCTAGCTTATTAATATACAGATCCTTGAAGGTGACAGGCTCCAAAAAATCCAAGAGATTCCTGCAGTTATGATAGATGCCTTCATGAATAATCAGTGTCTCCACCAAAGCTATGGCAACCACCACTTCCTTGACTCCTACTAAACACATCCACACACACATTCACATCCACACTACATTCAAGACATGAAAGAATATGGGCCTTGGAACTGAGCACAGCTAAAATCAAACCTCAGAAATCCATTACTAAGCTCAAGTTCATTTGTATTTAAGTACTCTTTCACACCAAAAGGTTTGCTTTTGCTTTTGTTTGGCAATTTACGATTTTATTTTTCATTTTAATTACACACACACACACACACACACACACACACACACACACACACACACACACACACGTACGTGAGTATATGCATGTCAGTGTAGGTATCTGTAGAGACCAGAAGAGACTATCGGATCTCTGTGAGCGGCCACTGTATAGTGGAAACTGACTTCAGGTCCTCTGGAAGAGCAGCCAGGGCTCTTAACCACTGAGCCATCTCTCCGGCCATGTTCAGCAATCTTTGCAAGAAAAGTTGCTCTGTAAGCAAAGGGAGCCTGGGAGCAAGTGTCAAGGTGCCGGAAGCTCTCCTCTTCTCGAAGGCTTTCCTAGGAAACGTGAGAGGAGCCAACGGCAGCGCAGTGGCAAACATGGCTGCTTTGCAACTCTGGGAAATTTCAGTTGTGTTTTAGGAGAATTTCTGTTCAACATCATAAACTATTAAAACAATAAAACAAATGTAAACCTGCCTCCTGCTGTCAACCTCAGTAAAATGTATGTTCTATCAAATGTTTTTAAAATTAAGCTTTTCTTCTGGTTCTCCATAGGAAATAAAACAATTTCCTAACCTGGGTATAATTTAGCTTAATTTACTTCAGCTCCAGTTAAGCCTTTTAAAAATGATAATAATAAGTGAAGTTTATGCTTGTTTCTAATACAATTTCTTACACTAAAAAACAGAAGAAGATATTAAAATATCTTTACGTATTTTTGTGATAAAAATAACAGTAACCTACCTGGGCAGACTAGCATACACCTTTAATTCCAGTATGCAGGAGGCAGGAGTTGGCAAATCTCTGAGTTTGAGACCAGCCTGCTCTATATAGTGAGGTCCTCTCTCTAAACAAATAAATGAATAAATGAGAGTGACCTACATAGAGTGCCTCATCTTTCTAAGCAGGTAATAGAAACCAAACTGATCGTCTTTTTTTTTTTTTCTTTTTTAAGACAGTCTAATTATGTAGCAATGGCTGCCCTAAAACTCATCATGCTGACCAGGCTGCTTAAACTCACAGAGATCCCCCTGTCTCTGCCTACTAATCCTCTGAGCCGGGACTAAAGGTATATTCACCATGCCTTGCATGCCCTTGTTTCTTTTGTTGTCGTTTTGTTTTGCTTCAAGACAGGGTTTCTCTGTGGAGCCCTGGCTGTCCTGGAACTTGCTCTGTAGACCAGGCTGGCCTCGAGTGAGGCCCTGGGCTTTGTCTCCAATACCACAGAGAAGAAAAAGAAGAGATTCAGCACTCGGACACCTGGTAATTCGTGAGTACCCATCCAGAAGAAAAAGAAACAACTCTAAACAAGCACAATTATCAGTCAAAGAATAGATTCAAATGAAACATCTCAGACAAGAAATTAGAATGGGATACATACACATACCAAACAAAAAATCATCTAAGCTGGGCACAGTAGTGAGCATCTATAACGCAGACTGAAACAGGAGGATTATGAGTTTGAGGCCAGTCTAGGATTACACAGTGAATTCTAGGCCAGGCAGGTCTGCACAGCAAAACTTGTCTCAAAAACAACTAACCAGCTGAGCAGGTAAAGGTGCTCACTGTGGGAGCCTGGCAACCTGAGCTTGAGTCCCAGCTTCCACAAAAGGTGGAATGAGAGTGTCTAGTCCAAGTCAGGCATGGTGGCGCACACCTTTAATCCCAGCACTCGGGAGGCAGAGGCAGGTGGATCTCTGTGAGTCTGAGGCCAGCCTGGGCTACAGAGCGAGTTCCAGGACAGTCAGAGCTACACAACAGAGAGACTCTGTCTCCAACCAAAATAAAAAAAGGAAAGAGAGAGTATACTCCAAAGTTGTCCTCTACCTTCACATGCATACATGTTTGCACATGTGTACAATAATACAGATAATTTTTAAATCTGCTACATACCTTGATCAATACAGCTTTCAGCAAGAGCAAAGAGCTGAGGCGAGCGCTCCTCCAGCAACTGTTGGTGAATATTCACATATCGCAAAGTCCACCACGGCAAGCTCTAGAAAAAAGCACCAAAGAAGCTGAAATTAAGAGACACATAGGGGAGCTGGAGAGATGGCTCAGCGGTTAAGAGCACTGACTGTTCTTCCAGAGGTCCCGAGTTCAATTCCCAGCAACCACATGGTGGCTCACAACCATCTGTAATGAGATCTAGTGCCCTCTTCTGGCCTGAAGGGACACATGCAGGCAGAACACTGTATAAGTAATAAATAAATAAATCTTTAAAAAAAAAAAAGAGAGACACATAGGAGGCCAGGTGGTGGTGGCACACACCCTTAATTCCAGCACTCGGGAGGCAGATGCAGGCGGATCTCTGAGTTAGAAACCAGCCTGGTCTACAGAGTGAGTTCCAGGACAGCTAGGACAGTTACACAGAGAAACCCTGTCCCAAAAAATAAATAGAGAGAGAGAGACAGACAGACAGACTTAGGAAAAACATGTAAAGTGAGACTAATTCTTGGAATATTTTCACACTCATGAAACTTATTCCTAGATAAGCTTAATCATCCATGCTATGCTCTCAAGAGGATCAAAACCTGCTGCCACGTCTCCATTCATGCTTTCTGGAGACACTTCAGACTTACCATCTCCCCTAAAATGACTAAGACAAGCACCCTGCTCTGCCATGGCACTCACTCCATTCCCTTCACAACCCAAGTACCAACACCTTGACTGAGGTATGGACTGAGCACACAGCAGCTTTTTCTTTAGTTCACTCATGCTTCTTCTTGCTTGTCAATACATCCTTACTAAGGGAGAGAACAAGGACCAGGGAGAAGGCTCGGCGGGTAAGAGCAATAGCTCAGACATGAGGACCTGAGAGTTCAAATCACCACCACCCACCAAAAACACCACACGTGACCGTGACTCAGAACTGGGGAGCAGAGTTGGGAGGAACTCAGCAGTGGGCCTAGCAGAAACAACTTCAGAGTCAGAGAGATCCCTGTCTCGAGTGAACGAGGCAATACAAGACATGTGACATTCTCCTCTGGACGCCATGACACAGCCACCCATACACACACACACACACACACAGATAGATTAGATAGATAGACAGACAGACAAACAGCAGACAGACATAAGAAAGAAGAAGTAACACAACAAGAAGCTGTAATACACCAGTACACATCTGCACCCTCAACACGGAGGGGTAGAGACAAATAGATCTCTGAGTTCAAGGCCAGCCTGATCTACATAGTGAATTCCAGGATAGCCAGGGCTACATAGAGAGACCCTTTCTCAAAAGCAAAAATAAAACACAATGAAGAAAGACACCTAACACTGACCTCTGGCCTCTACACACACACACACACACACACACACACACACACAGTCTCCTCTTTTACTCCTCAATCCTACCTTCCTCTAGAAAAGGCCATAACAAAGATTAATAACATATGTATTCTTCTGAATGTATTCATGTCTATATTAGTACCTGTGCAAGTCATAATACATCTTTTAAAGGGGTTATCAAGTATGAGTAGATACTGAGCCATCTAAGTTAAAGGTAGTCAGGCAGATGGCTCATACCCACAAGCTCAGTACTCAGGAAACAGAAGCATGAGACTCACAATCTCAAGTTAGCCTTAGCTACCCTCTGATTTCATCTAAAAAAAAAAATGAACTGGTACCCTGAATGTATAAGAAACTAATTTTTCTTTTTCAGTAGTAATAGCTGCTAATAGATCATGCTTAGCTATCAAAAGCATTTTACTTGAATTTACTATCTCATTTGATTAAGGAGTGCCTTTCTCCCAGACCTGGTGCAGCAGGTCTGCTGAACTCTTGGGAGACTGAAACTGAAGGATCCAAGTTCAAGGCCTGCCTGGGCAGCTTAGAGAAAGGGCTAGAGGAGCAGCTCATTGGTAGAGCTCCTAGCACGTTCCAGTCCCTAGGTTTGATCCTCAGCACCACAGACGGGGGACGGGTCCCCTTCCAATCAGGTACACACACTAGTGTAACTAAAGTCACAGATGAATTTCTGACTTCACAATGAAATCCTTTAAATGACTAATGCTGCTTTTAGGTCCATGGAAGGAAAGCAGCATTATCCAAGGAAGGAAGTTTCAAATCATTTTATTTTAGCTGAATTCCCCGAGGCGCTTCCTCACTTTCCTCTCTTCCGGTCACTGAGGCTAGTGAGGTCAGTCCACATTTCAGTACCTCCCCTTATCTGGCATCAGGACTCCTTCCCTTTCCAGACAAGGGAATTCAGCTGCCTCCGGTCCAAAGGACTGAGCTGTTAAGAAATCATATGACCTAAGGCACTGGACTCTTTAAGGTCGTTCTAAGATTTTAACTCTGAAGTGAGTGTCTACAATAGGTAGAGCTTTCCCTTCAGCGCTGTTGGGAACTACAAAGGCCTGTTTTATTTGCTAAGAAGTACACAGCAGAGAAACTGAGTGTTGACAGAAATGGAAACTGACAGCCTTACCTCCTGTGAAGGCACTCACCAGTCAACACAGCCTGACTGAGAGGTCTCCCTAGTCCGGAACTCTCTCCATGGCACAGTCGGTAAACCAGTCAAAAAGGAACTCATCTGTTTGAATCTCCCTCTTTTTTTTTTCAGTGCTAGGCACTGATCCTCGAGCCTCACCAGGCTAGGCACTGATCCTCGAGTCTCACCAGGCTAGGCAACTGCGAGTTAGAGAGATCACCCGGCCTAAGTTCACACAGCTGAGGAGAGACGGCGAGAGAACTGTGGACTGCTATCAAGGCTGAGACTTACTCAGCATGGACATGTTATTAATTCCAGTCTATAGACTGAGCAGAGAGGGTGGGGAGAGGAGAGTGTGTGTCTTTCATACGGATCCACAAATATCACAATAAACACCAGGATACATTTCTTTAAGGAGATGATTCACTCGAAAATTAATTGAAAATGGGGCTGGTATTTAACCCGTGGGCAGAGCTTGCCAAATGGGTGCAAGGCCCTGGGACTGCTCCTCATGGTTGAAATAACAACTTCAAAGGCTGAAACAGCCTTACATAAGTATGTGATGCCTCTTCACATACTTTTAGAGAGAAGCAGTCTTAATAACATCATTGAGAGAATCACATGGAGCTGAAGGGCTGGAGCATCGCTTAAGAGGTTTGCTGCTCTTGCAGAGCACTCAAGCTTGGTTTCCAGGACCCATATCAGGTGGCTCACAGCCCAGGGAACCCTAGTTCCAAAGGGACTCAAGACCGCTGGTCTCCTCTGGCTTGTGCACTCACCTGCATGACCCACACAGACACATAATTAAAAACAAAATCTATAAAAAGAGGGAGTATTGTAAATATTCATCATACCATTAAGGGATGGAGAGAAGGCTGGAGATATGGCTCCAAGATTAAAAGAACTAGCTGCTCTTCCAGGGGACCTGGCTTTGATTCTCAGCACCCATATAGTGGCTAAGAACCATCTGTGATTCCAGTTCCAGGGAGCTCTGACACCCTCTTCTGGCCTCTGCAGGTACCAAGCATGCATGTGATGCATACTCACACGGGAAACATGTAAAATCCTGAGTGAATGTGTACTGTCTAACATAGAGACTGCAATGCCTTAGACCTATGGAAAATGGCAAAGCCTTGCCCAGGTGAGGCTCAAGGAAATGGCAAAGCCTTCCCCTAGTCTGTGTGAGGAAGTTGATACCATGTGTAGAAAATGTCCATGGTAACTTTCTTCCACACCCCCACCCATACCCGTGCTTACAGCCTGAAGACTGCTTCCCCTACAGAGAGTGCTCCTACAGGTATCAGCTGACCCCGCCTCCTTGTTCAGCTGGATGCACTAACCCTGCCCCCTGCTCAGCTGCACATAACAAATATGCTGAGCTTCTAGAGTGCTGCAGCTTCGCATGGTGCAGACATGAAGGCAGACAAAATACCCGCACACATAAAAATAAATCGGTTTTTTTTGGTTTGGGTTTTTTAAGACAGGGTTTCTCTGTGTAGCTGCCTGGAACTCACCCTGTAGACCAGGCTGGCCTCGAACTCAGAGATACACCTGTCTCTACCTCTGCCTCCTGAGTGCTGAGATTAAAAGTGTATAGCACCATGCCCAGCCACAAATAAAGCTTTATTGGAACACAACTCAACCCATCTGCTGACAGACTGTGGCTGCTCTCACACCACCACACAGAGGAGCTAAGCAGTCACCATGCAGACTACACCCTCCATGCTGACAGCCTTCACCTAAACCTGAGACCTCTGCACTTCCATTGTGTCATTCCTAGTGCCTATTGACTTCCTGCAGGATTGTGTCTCCTCACTGGTGTACACGACCTGCAGAAACCACACGACGGATAGTCCTATACATTCAACACAAATAAACCAGAAGCCAGTGCTTCAGATCCCTTCCATTCTCACTGCTATTGACTATCATCAGCTCAAATTTGTAGCAGACATGAACACTTACACACGCATGCACGCACAGACTCTCCTACTAAAGAGGCTCAATGCAATCTCATCTTACACAAGATTAATCCCACAAGGAAAGAAAATATTTTTCCTTATTTTCATGAGACTTTTAAAATTAAGTCTCTCAAAGACGATATAGAAAACAAAATCTACTGAGACACAGCCAGCATCAGTCTGACATTAAAAGGCACAAAAGGGACCCGGTGAAATGCTCACAGAGCCTTCCCCTGCCTTACCTGGAGAGCTGTTAGTTTATGTCTGACGTTCACCAGCACAATGCGTGCTATTAACAGCAGTATGGGTTCCGAGGCCAGGCTGTAGATGGATTCACCGTCTAGAATGAGCAGGCCCAGAATAATAGCATCCAGTCCTTTGACCTGAAAAAGGTAAGGTTACACAATTTAACAATAGGCACTCTTATATGTCGTAAGAACACACAGATATTTCAATTAATTCAGCTTAGAAATGAGAACATTCATTAATTACACAGCAAGAGACACCAGAAGTGACTGCAACCTTGCAAATGTCACTAGAGACCTCCAAACCCATCCTGCCCTGTCAGACAGCCACATGAGATGTTCTAAAATCAGAGGACCAGAATCAAAATGTTTAAAGACAGGTTTTTTGTTTTGTTTTGGTTTGGTTTTTTGGTTTTTCGAGACATGGCTTCTCTGTGTAGTTTTGGTGCCTGTCCTAGATCTTACTCTGTAGACCAGGCTGGCCTCGAACTCAAAGATCCACCTGGCTCTGCCTCCTGAGTGCTGGGATTAAAGGCCTGCTCCACCACCACCTAGCTTTAAAGACAGTTTTTAATTGACTGGGTACATGGGGTGCATCAATAATTCCAAATACCCAAAAGGCTGAGGCAAGAGGATCACTTGAGTGTAGTAGAATATTATTTTAAGATGTGTTACTTTTGTTTATGCTGTGGAACATTTGTTTAGTGATGCAAAGATGTGCTGCATCTTTTATGTTGTATTTGTTTAACTCTGTGAAGCTGTGTTACTGTGCCTGTCTAAAACACCTGATGGTCTAATCAAGAGTTGAACGGCCAATAGCGAAGCAGGAGAAAGGATGGGCAGGACTGGCAGGGAGAGAGAATAGATAGGAGAGATCTGGGAGGAAAAGAAAAGAGAAGAAAGAGCAAGAGAACAAGGAGAGGAGGACGCTAGGGCCAGCCAGCCAGCCACAGAGTAAAAGTGAAAGTAAGATTACAGAAGTAAGAGAAAGATAAAAGCTCAGAGGCAAAAGACAGATGGCTAATTTAAGAAAAGCTGGCAAGAAACAAGCCAAGCTAAAGGCCAGCCATTTATAATTAAGAATAAGCCTCCATGTGTGATTTATTTGGGAGCTGGGTGGCACATCCCTCAAAGAGCAAAAACAAACAACATTTTGGCATTCCAACGCGGGGCCACAGAAAGCTGAACACTTGAGTCCAGAAGTTTAAACAAGTATATGTTCAAACACAGTCCAAGAATGGAGTCATGTGAGGAGAATTCTGAGTGCTTGTGAGAAAACTCCAAGAGAACAAGAGCTTTGCGACCTCAGCTTCTTTAAAACACAGAACTGTTCTTGGAATGTGTTTTCCTGCCTCTCCCAGTATAGTGGATAGGAGTGAATTTGCATCAGATTATTAATTACAACTGGCCATTGCTGTCTCCATGGAAAATCAGGTTTTGCCACATGCAGCTTGTCTACCATGTGCACCATGTCCTTGTGACTGTATGCATTCCTCATGTGACCTTCTTAACCCTCAAAGTTCAAACTGTCTGACACTCTGAATAAAGTTGACTATTGCATGAAACTTTAGTCCATCTCATTTATCAGCTCCATTCTCCCAGGTCCCACTACCTCTAGAGCCATCAACAGGTGTATGCATGTTGTTGGGTCCAGGGCCTCTTCTATACTTGTCAAAGGGGGAAAAAAATCATGGTTAGATCTTAAGGTCAAAGGTTGATGGCAAACCTAAGCAACAAAGAACGCAAGGAAAGGGGAACTTGAGAAAACGCTAGCAATGAGCATTCACTTTACATTTCCTATAAAATACTACTTCAATAAGAAGTAATCCATGCCAGGTGTAGTGGCACATGCCTTTAATCCTAGCACTCAGGGGGCAAAAGCAGGCAGAGCTCTGAGTTAGAGGCTAGCCTGGTCTACACAGTAAGTTCCAGGACAGCCAGGGCTGTAGCTCTCACTATACATAGTGAGAGGCTGTCTCAAAACAAGAAGTAACGACTGCTACATTAAGTATGTATTATATACTTATATTTCACTTAGGATTCACTCCATCACAAAGGTTATTATGTAGCACATCCCTAATCCCTAATTTCCATCAATGAAAATTAACAACCAGGTCTTTCACATCAAACAGTGAGCAGACTACAGACTACAGTGCATAGAAGGATCCCCAAAGAGGAAGGCTTGGGGCTGTGGAGAGAACTCAGTTGGTAAAGTGCTTTCTGCACAAGTATAAGGACCTGAGTTCAGATCCCAGCATCCACCTAAAAAAAAGGAAAGCCCCAGTGCAGTGGAAAGTCTCTGTAATACCAGTGCTGAGGACGCAGAGCCAGGAGGAGCCAATCAGCTTCCTGCTCAGTCATTTCAGTCAAGTCAATGCTCCAGTGAAAATGAGCTCTCAGTGAATCTGTGCCTCAAAAAATAGGAGAAAGGGGCAGGTAAGATCACTTGTTCCTGCAGAAGACCTGGGCTTGGTTCCCAGCATCCACATCATGTCTCACAGCCGTCTATATCTCCAGTTCCAAGAAACTCAACCTCTTCTGACCTCCTCAGACAGCATGCATATAGTACACATCCATACATGCAGGTAAAATACTCAAACACATAAAATAAAACAAACAAATTTAAAAAAATTGAAAATAAAAAGTATAAGGTAGCCATACACAGTTACCGTGAATAAAAGCGTGGAATGAGCCACAAGAAACTGTTGAGATCAGGAAAGTGGGAGTCAGAGATGCTATCAGGATGCACACGGGGTCTTCCACTGCAGTGTGCCCAAGCTTGTCCAGATCAGAGCACAAAAAGACAGTATCACAATGAGAGTTTAACTCAGTGGTAGAGTATTTGCCTAACATGCTGAGCCATGGGTTCGACTCCCAGTACAATCAAAATAGAAAAGAGGATCCAACTGTTCATAGAACTCAAAAGGCAAAAAGAGGAAGCTGCAAACCCACAAGAAAAGAGCTGAAAGGACCTCACCAGCCCCAGGCCCATGTAACCACTGATTCAAGACAGGGCTCAAGATCTAGAGAGAACCATCAGAAGCTCTGCTCTATGACAATGATCACGTCTACTCTCTCAACTAGGTGCTGAGTGCAAAGGAGACATAGTCTTTGTGTGTGTGTGCATGCAAATGTGCATGCATGTAATGTACATGTGTTATTACATGTGCAGGTGTATATGTGTAAGTCCAATGCAAATGCCACAGCATGTATGGAGGTCAGAAGATCAATGAAGCCAGCATTCTTAGCAGTTTGTGCAAACACAGTCATCTCTTTCCTATCTACTGTTAACTCCAATTTACAAGCACTTGTTTGAAAAGAACTACATTTAGAAAAAAAAAAAAAGTATACATAACATGTCCAAGAAGCATACCTCACTAAACCGCTCAAGCAGAACAGGTGGTAAGAAATCCTGAGGGTGCAAGTCCACGAGAGGCCCAGTCCAGTTGCTCTGAACAAACAACTGCAAGCTACTCACACCAAGTAGGAAAACCAGCTGCTGTCTAGAGACAAGAATGGTAAAGGTCTTAGTTAGGGTTTCTAGTGCTGGGATTTAAAAAAAAAAAAAAAAAAATACCAAGTACACGACCAAAAGCAACTTGGGGAGAAAAGGGTTCAATTCAGCTTACAATCCTCAGGTCACACTCCATAGTGAGATAAATCAAGACAGGAACTCAAGTCAGGAACCTGAAGGTAGGAACTAAAGCAGAGGCCATGGAAGAATGCTACTTGCTTGCTTGCTTGCTCTCCATGGTTTTCCTCGACCTGCTTTCCAGTATCATTCAGGACTATCCACCCAGTATGGCCATGGTAAGCTGGGCCCTCCTACATCAATCATTAATCAAGAAAATGCCCTACAGACTTGCTTGGGCCAATCTTACAGAGGCTTTTCTCAATTAAGATTCCCTGTTCCCATATATATCTAGATTTGTGTCAATTTGACAGAAACTAACCAGCACAGAAAATAAACAAATATCAACCACCATCGCCATATGCTTGTACGAATATTACTTAATTTCAGCTTAATTAAGAAAAAAAAACACTAGGCTGGGCAATAGTGGTGTGCACCTTTAATCCCAGCCCTCAGGAGGCAGAGGCAAGTGGATCTCTGTAAGTCAAGGCCAGCCTGGTTTACAGAGTGAGTAACTCCAGGACAGCCAGAGCTACACAGAGAAACCCTGTCTGGAAAAACAAAAAACAAAAGAAAAAAAGAAACCATCAAGTAATAGCTGAAACTATCCTAAGTACAATTTATATCTTCAATGTCCAATAAATCCATTAGCTACATGAGACTTTTAAATTGAATTTAATCTAGAGCTGTAGAAATGGCTCAGCACTGGCTGCCCTTCCAGAGAACCCAGGTTTTATTCCCAGCACCCACATGGCTGCTAACAACTGTCTGTAACTCATTTCCAGGTGATCTGCTGCCCTCTTCTGGCCTCCACATGCACTGCATGCACACGGAACACACTGGTATAGGCGAAATACACCCATACATACAAAATAAAAATAGATAATCTTTTAAAAAATGTTAACATAGATGTAAATCTAATTTAACTTAAATCTAAAATGCAGTCTCCACTCACAATTTCCGTATTTCAAGTACTCAATAGCCAAGTATGAGAAGTGGCTACCATACTGACTACAAGAGACACAGAATCTCCCCATCACCAACACATTCTCTTGGAGAGTGTACCCTGAAAGAGGTCACACCAAGTGCCTCTTTTCAAACTACAATTCTGGTGCACCTATGAATAATGCATTTGTGTGCGTGCATGTGGTGCTGGGGAAAGGAAGAGGAGGCTAACTTTACTATAGGAGAAACACATCAGCCAGCAAAGAAGAATCAGAAACAAAGCCAGGCCTGGTGCTGAAGCCTGCAGTCCCAGCTCCTCAGGAGGCTGATCCAAAAGAATCACACATTCAAAGCCACCTTGGACAGCTTAGTAAGACCCTGCCTCAAAATGAAAAGTAGAAAAAAGGGTTAGGGATACAGCTTAATGGTAGAATGTGAGAAGTCTGAAGTTCAATCCTCAGTGGCAAAAGAGAAAGAAAAAAAAACCCAGAATCAAAAATGAGCTGGAGCTGGGCATGGGGGTATATCCCTGTAATCCCCAAATTTGGGGAGCTAAGGCAAAAGGATTATGTGTTTGAGGCCAGCCTGGAGTTTATTGCAAACCCCTGGCCAAACGTGTAATACAGGACACGATCACAAACAACAACAAAATCAAGAATGACACTCTTGGAAATTAGAAAAAAATGAAACCGAATTATGAACTATTTATGAATCTGTGTTAGGTCTTATTTATCTTTACAGCCTAACGAGTTAGTTGGCTTATTCTTTGGAGGACTGTCTGAAACTGTTCTGTAAACATCAGGGTAGAATGATATTATAGGCATTTTGGAGATGGCTAAGAATTCTAGACAGACATCATGGGTGGATGAGAAGAAGTAAGCTAACAACGTATACCAATAAAACAGAAGCCTCTAGAAGGCTTAGATTTAACCAGTGTGCAGGCATCCTAACTGAGGAAAGGTAAACTGAGGGTTCCATGATAAACACATGGAGTTCTCTGATCACTTCAGAGATAACAATCTGAGACATAGCAAATGGAAATGCAAGCATCTTTCAGCAACCCAGAAATAGCAGGATTCAAGGTACATTTACACATTTAAAAAAGAAAAAGAAAAGAGCTGCCCCCTTTAAAGCACGTGCCTTTCATCCCAGCCCTTGAAAGGCAGAGAAGCAGGTGGATCTCTGTGAGTCTGAGGCCAGCCTGGTCTCCATAGTGAGTTCCAGGACAAGGCTACATAGTGAGACTCTGCCCCAAAACAAAACAAAATGAGAAACAACAAGAAGCAAAAGGACACAAGTTGAGAGCTAACACTTACCAAACCTAAGCTCTGGGAAGAGTAGCAGTGACTCCCAGGCATGTGTCATTCTCATACACAAAACTCATTTTGATCCCACACCACTTTCACTTCTCATTCTGGAAGATCTGGACCAGAGACCTCACGGAGATTACCTGACACAATCGTGAGTTCAGGTTTATCAACAACTGCTAAATAGCAGGGCCTTTCTGGTGCCAAGCTGCCATAACAGTATCCAAAATTTATTTATTCATTTGATGTATATATGCGCACTACATATGTGCCTGATACCCATGGGTGTCAGAAGAGGATGTTGGATCCACTGGAATTGAAGTTGCACACTTGTGAGTCACCATGCAGGTGCTGGCAATTGGACCTGAGTCCTCTGAAACAGCAGTAAGTGCTCTTAATCACTGAACCATCTCTCCAGCCCTCTGCACAAGAGTAGTTTCTCTGTGGAAATTTCAAATAAAATTCTACCTTTCAATTTCCTCCAAATCCGTAGAGCAACCCAGGAAATTTACTATCTGCTTCTCCAGGTAGCTGTCAATCTTTTCTTCAGCCATCATTGTGGAGTTGAATATATTTCGTGTCAATGAATGTAAGAACATGGCCTCATAGCTCCCTTCCAACAGCAAGTCTAAAAAAACTCCAATATCTGTAATTAAAAAAAAAATCAGGCCCACAAGCCAACAGAATTTAAGTGTAAATGATAATCCATTACATAAATATTTTAATATACACAACGGTATAAACAGAATGCTGGCTATACAGGAATCACTAAGTCTTGAGCAAATCCTTCTCACTCTACCAACACTACCCCTCCTAGAATTACAGGATACCTACAATGACTATGAGCAGCAAAGTGGAGGTCACACAGAAATAATAATAATAATAGTAGTAGTAATAGTAATAATAACAACAACAACAATAATAATAATAGGCGTAGTACCCTTCTTCGGGAAATTCACAAAGATTCCAACCGACACAGAAGTTTCCTTTGCCGAGGTCCTACCTTCAATATTCTCTCCCAGGAGGCCCATCCAAACACACAGGTGCTCTCGTGATTCCCTCATATTCCCCAGCTCATGCCTGCCTCAATACTGTTACAACCGCGATTTTTTTTCCCCCTGACGAATTCTCTTTTACATGTCAGTCCTAAGTGAAGAAAATCAGCTCAAGTCTGTCTCTCGGGAACTTTCCCAGAGCACCAGATCTCAGGCCATCGAACAAAACTTCCCCCCTGCTGACCCCTCCTCTGTACCCAGGGCTGGCATCCCTGTCCTCACAGCTCTCCCACCTGAGCCAAGGCGCCCCTCCTGCTGGCACAACAGTCGCTCCGCCTCCGTGGAGAAGCCCCTCAGAAGCGCCCGCTCCGGAGTCCACATCACCCCCGGCATCACTGGACCCAATTCGGGGTCCCGCGAGGGTCCCACGGGGGAGGAGGAAGCGAAAGGAGCAGGGACCAAAGTCGCCGGCGTCTGGTGGCCACGGGTACCGTCCAGACACCCACAGGACTAGCGTCCCCTGTGAGGAGACAGGCACACGGGGGCAGACATGACAGCAGCGCAGAGCATCCTGGGAAAACATCCCTAGGCGACCAATCGGAGACTCGGGTGTGAGCATGCGCAGAGGATATGATCGCGCTGGCCTTCTCGGGGCTGTAGGGATCGATGGGGTTGGGTTGACCCCATAAGTGGAGCCCATGAGCCCCAGGCTCGAGCTGCCTCAGCGTAGGCTATCCTTCGGAAAGCCGGAAGTGTCCTCGCAGCACTGAGGAGACTGAGGCAGAGGGATCGCTGCAGTTTCGAGGCCAGCCTGAGCTGCACTGTGAGTTCCAAACTGGCCTCCTCTAAGAGTGTTCCCTATCTCAAAGGGGGCAGTGGCGGGGCGCCTGGAGAGATGGCTCAACAGAGGACAAAGTTCTGTTCGAGGCACCCACATCAGGTGGCTCAGCACCACCTGTCACTCCAGACGATCGGTTGTCCTCCTCTGGACTTGTAGGCATCCCCTGCCGGCAAACACATACACGCATAAGAGAAACCATTTCTTTAAGAAGCGGGAGGCCATCACGTAAACCTGGCAGGGATCAAGGACCTGGAAAGTTTTGCAAGCCATTCTGGAGAACCCAGACACTTTGGTAAAGTGGGAAAAGGTAAAGAAATATATCCTGCTGACAGTGTGACAGGCGCTGAGCAGAGTTTGCTCTGTGTGTGTGTGTGTGTGTGTGTGTGTGTGTGTGTGTGTGTGTGTGTGTGTGTGCGAGTGCGTGTGCATGTGTGTGTGTGTGTGTGTGTGTCTGGCGCGCCCATGAATGTTGTTTTTTTCACGAAGCTGCAAAGATTCACTGTGGAAAAACAACAGCAGCCAATGCAGCTCAAGGTGAAATGAAGACAGTACTGTCCTTCATCTGACATTGTACAACACTTCCCTGTGCTCCCAGGCATTTCTAACGAGAAGAAACATTAAGTCTTTGACCAAGATCCAAGAAATAAGTCACTATCTTTTTTTGGTAGGGTCTCACCATGTAACTCTTGCTGGCCTGAAACTTGCTATGTAGACCAGGCTAGACTCAAAGTAACAGAGCTCTTCATGTTGGAATGCTGAGATTAAAGGATGGTTCCTCATCACACCCAGCCTCATAATTCGAGACAGGGTTTCTCTGTATAGCTTTGCACCTTTCCTGGAACTCACTCTGTAGTCCAGGCTGGCCTCGAACTCACAGCAATCCGCCTACCTCTGCCTCCTGAGTGTTGGGATTAAAGGCGTGCACCACCACCACCGCCCGACATAAATTTTAACCATAGATAATCTCATGAATTCTGTACACCAGGGCTTAGCCCCTAGTCTAGGGTCTTACAAAAATATGTACATTATGTTTATCTGCATCCACTGGGGAGTTGGGGACTTTCTTCAGTAGCACTGTTGAGAATAGTATCTTATCCATTGGTATTGCTAAAAGTTATTTCAGGACTTCTCTAATTTAAGACACCCATGCTATCGCAGGTTACTTCCCACTTTTATTTGGGGATGGAAGTAGAAGGTGCCATGTTCACTCCTCATGGACTTCACATATTTCTCATATGCCTCTTCACTGTTAATTCATCCAACTCTAAAGGGTCACTCCTCTTTACTAGCCAATCATCTTCAGGACAAGATCTTTGGACAAGCCCCGGAATTTCTTGGAGCATTTCATTGGCGTCCGTCACCTCTCCTAACGGGAGAGTGAACTTCGTTGGCAGCCTTCCCCCATTCCAAAGCACCAAACTCAGCTCTTTATTTTTTTGTCCCACCCTGAGGCAGCCGATACAGTAAACAACATCTCCCCAAGTTTCGTGTGCAGCATTGCTGACTCCCACTGTTCCAGGACCACTTTCCTTTGATGTCTGTTCATGTTTCTGTGAATTGATGAACTGACAACATGGCAGATGTTGTCCTTCCTCTTTTACTGCTGGGAGAAAAATGAAGCTCCAGGAGCAAGGACTAAGACTGGGCATGGGCCTTGCGGCCTGACACCTGAAGTGGGAAGTGCCATTCCAGACCCAGGAGGCAGCTCAGGCCAGCAGTTAACCATAAGATAGCCTTGGAAGAAATAAACACTGTGTGTGTGTGGTGGTGGTGGGGTATTGGGGGATGTCAGGAGGAATTCAATGCTTCTTTTTAATTAATTAACTGGCTCTAATTTTTTAATGATGTATAATTCGTACCTCACCCTTCTTCTCAGAACCCAGAGTTCCCCAGACTGCTGAATGAAGCAGGCAAGCATAGTTGGTAGTTTAGCAACCTGGGACTCCACTTGGTTTGGGCTATACACACACCCCTCTGCTAACAATGTGCTTGAAATCTGAGACATTTACCCACACATACAATACAAGTGTCAGCTCCTCTCCAAATAATGCACCTATCCTGCACTGAGATGCATGCACACCCTCTCTGAACTATAGAATAAGTTTCTCCTCCCCTTAACAATCATCAAACATAGACAGAGTCTATTCAAAAGTATTCTCAGTACATATGCCTGAACTAGTTTAGGGTAGATGCACAATAAGGTAAACTTTGTCTTCAAAGTGAACTTCTAGGGAAATCTATTTGCCATCCTACACATATTTGTAATTGGGCTTGGATATGATTAAAATCAAATGTATTATGGGATGGGGCATGCACACTAGAGAAATAGTTATATAACTTAATCTGTCAATCAGAGTAGAGCCATCCAAACTATCCCCCTAAGCAACCGAACTCCCCCTTCTCTTGAACCCTATAAAAGAAGTCCCAAACAGTGACTGGAGCCTTTGAGGACCTTCATTTCTGTGGCTTATTGTCAATCCTGACTGTATATTCCTTTCTAATCTGTCCCATCAGTTTGCCTTGAATAAAGTTTGTGTTTCTTTGCAAATCTGTGTGAGCCCCTTATTTCAGTCTGGTGAATAAGAGGCCACGAACCTGGAAACACTGGTCTAGACTGCAGCTGCCACTAACAAAGCCAGGGGTCTCACAGCAAAAGCTGGAAAATTTGAGCAACAAAATGAATGACAACAGTATTGAGCCGTAACACAAAGTATAAAAGAAATATACACGCATCTATACCAGTAAATGTAAGTGAACAAATAGAATGTGGGGAGAGGGAGACAAGTCTTTCTTACTCAAGAATTTCAAATATGTGTTGTGTTACAGTATTCCTCCAGGAGATGGGACTTAATCATGCCAGCCCCATACCTCCGATAGGAGTTAGATTTATAGATAGGCCACTTCTAGAAGCAAAGTATGAACAAAAGAAAATAACTCCAGTAGAGAAATGTGGCATGCACTCCCCTACAAAGTATTTGAGACTAGCTAGCAGGACATACTGATAACAGATCCCTCTTGGTATGCTAGAATAGGGAGAGCATGCCAGTGCTGTGTATTCTCCATTCCAACCACATCATACACACCTAATTTCAGTCTAAGCATAAAGAGAACATCACAGAGACTCAAATTCAAGGATTTCTTCCTCCTCCTCCTCCTCCTCCTCCTCCTCTTCTTTCTTCTCCTTCTCCTTCTTCCTCCTCCTCCTCCTTCCTTCTTCCTCCTTCTTCCTTTTTCCTTCCTCTCCTTTCTTCCTCCTCCTTCTTCTTCCTTCTTCTTCCTCCTCCTCCTCCTCCTCCCCCCTCCTTCTTTTGTGGTAGAGCACTAGAGAACTCTGGGTTTAGTCTTCAGCAACATGGACTATGGATTAGATCCTGAACATTGGTGGGAAAATATGAGATCCAAATGAAGGCTGAAGTTTAGTTAATAGTAAACGTGCCAATGCTTTTATTTTATTTTTTGAGATAGGGTTTATGTAGCTCAAGCTGGCTTTGAATTTGCAGGGTAGCCAAGGATGACCTTGGAATCTGGATACTCCTGCCTCCAACTCCAAGGTTTAGCTCATGGTCTGGATAAGTGTACTAAAGTTTTATAACTTTATGTTTAGAGTGGAGCTGGGGTCGGGCAGTGGTGGCACTTGCCTTTAATCCTAGCACTTGAGATGCAGAGGCAGGCAGATCTGTGTTTGAGGCCAGCCTGGTCTACAGATCGAGTTCCAGAACAGCCAGAGCTGTTACACAGAGAAACCTGTCTCAAACAACAACTACAACAAAAACCAAAACAAGCAGACTAACAAAAATAAAACAAAAGAGT